ACTTATTAATATACAAAGTACCTAACTGGAAACTATCAATCACAGTTATTTTACACATCTAACAAAAGGTTCTCCATCCCTCCCTCTCTCTCTCTCTCTCACTCTCTTCCTCCACCGCTGTATATATATATATCTTTCTCTCCACCAGACTTTGAAATATAAACACGCCCATAATAATTAGAAAATGTATTATACTGGTTTTATTACGTCCGTCACATTTTAACCGCAATACTCCGTATAAAGTGAGCAGTCAAAGGCTTAAATAATGTGCTAGATGGACTTGTGCAAAATCTACCGTTACTATCTTCATAAATTTAAGTAAAGTATCTAACCCCCATCAAACAATATCTAGACTTGTGATATATATATATATATATACACCTTTCTCATCACCAGACTTTGTGAAAAATAAACACACCCATAATAATTAGAAAATGCATTTTACTGGTTTTATTACGTCAGTCACGTTTTAAATGCAACACTCCGTACAGAGACTGACACGGCAGTCAAAGGCTTAAACAATGTGCTAGATAGACTTGTGCAAGTTACTATCTTACTATCGTTACTATCTTCATAAATTTAAGAAAAGTAGTATGTGATTAAAGAAAAAATTAAGTAAAGTATCTACCGCCCATCAAACAATATCTTGACTTATGTAAGTTTCATAACTTAAATAAATAAATCACCTCTTGTTCTTTTCTCTCAAGCCACTGCTTGAACGCCTCCTGCCTTTTCTTCTCGTTACGCTCACGTTCTTCCTTCGCCGTTGTCGTCGTAGATAGGGAAGCAACTGAAAGCCGAAATGTATCAGGACCATCTTCACGATACGTGCGATTATGGCGAGGGGTTTCATCTTCATCGTACTGATTCTCATTCCCGTGATCAGTCAAACGGCATAATTTCCGCTGAATACTAGCCGATGAAGTATTGGAAATTCGCCCAGTTAAAAAAGGCGTCGAATTGCTTCTATAAGTACTATGTGGATGTGGAGTTACCTCTTCAACACAGGATGAGTCAGTTTGAAGGGATGTTACGGAGTGCGAAGACTCCACTGTCTCTATATAAATAGCTGGATTGACATAACGGGTTTTGCTCTTCCTAGATCCTAAAGATTCGGAGTCACTGTGATATTGAATATTTTCTCCAGCTTCGTTAAAAACGTGATTAGATCTTTTCAATTTCGGATCGCATTCTGGTTTGTTCTGTGCACTGTCACCGTAGTTTCCATTATGTACATCTCTCGTCATTGTGTATTATTTTTTAAAATCGTATTGTATACCAGATGAAATTCAAAAATGTTATATAAAAATGTAAAGGGAACGTTTTATAAAATTGCAAGAGCCTTTAAAATGCGATTGTTAATAACCATTCATAACGTCGCCGAAAAATGATTGCGTCAAAGTATCAATTATTTTAAAAATTATTATTCACGAAGTCAATACAGCCAGCATACTGACCGCGATGAATATTACTGTACCCTCTCTCCTATAATTTATGATTTTTGCTTTTAGATATATAAATCTCAATGTATCAATTAGTAATTAACTAATTTACAATTCAAAGACTAAAAAGAATGTAATAACTTTTACTTATCAGTTTCTGAATACCGTAGTAAGACATAGTGTATAAATCGAAGAATTCAAGCCCGTAAAAAGAAGCTATTTTTCTAGATTTTAGTTGTCCCTTAGCTAAATTTTTATTCTCTGTTTTTACCTACTTACTACTAGAAGTTTATTTTAAATAGCTAAGTAATATCACAATCTAAAGGTTACAACTACTCGTAGAGTGTCGCTAATATAGGTAGTTACAATAAAAACTTTGTTCCCAATTTTTATTCGCCAAGCGAAGCTTCTTTTACCTTTAATGTATTTAATAAATAAATAATCATTTTAATCGTTTTCGAGATTTCTTTGAGCATATAGAAAACATACATGTCGAATATAGAACCTAAAACTCCTTTTTGAAGTCGGTTAAAACCGTAGACTTATACGCCAGTGTATTCGAAGTCTATGGTTAGAAACAAAAAATGCAACTTTCATCTAGTTTAAAAAAAGCAGAATCTATTTAAATAAAAGATAATAAGGTATTTATCCTCCATCTACTTATTACTTATATTTATACAACGTTTATTAAACATCTAATAAAACTGAATAGAAAAAAATACGTACAAAGAAAAAAGAACATACATAAAAAACTATAAAATACAATACTACCAGACGAAAGTCCTCGTTAGGATAAACCTAACAGCTGAGGGTTAGGGCAAAAGAAAATGAAACCGGTGGATAATGCGTATGTTATCAAGAAACATCGCCTTGCCTGCATTTTAGCCTGGAGCCTCGAGAGGCCGCCCATTTTATTATTGTGGATTATTAGTGATAAATAAATTAAGAAACGTCGGAATAGTAAAAATAAATTAAAGTAGTAATTACACGCGACAAAATCCGTAAATAATAGTTTTAATTAATTAAGTATTTATAGAGTATTCTCATCTGGTTTGCCTAAATGATAAATATTGAATATACTAACATTACTAAATAAATAATACATAAATAAATAAAAGCCCAACCAGATATAAGCCTGGGAGGCCAGATAAAGGGTTACGGGAAATGGGAAAAGAAAGCGGAGGATGACGCGGGCGATATCAAGGAGCACCGTCTTCTGCATTTGAGCCAGAGATTGCAATCCCGGAAGGTTTTTTGAATACCGGGATTTCGGGATCGTGTCGGAGCGATTCCGGGATCAAAAAATTGGAAATTGTTTAAAATAACAAATAATAAGTAAAATTAATTAAACAAAATAACAATAAATAAAAAAAGGAGAAAATAAAAACCAAAAATTATAAATTGTAACAAAACGAACAAAACCATTGTAGTAATATAATGAGATAAATTAAAATAAAAAAACACAATTAAACACATTCATTAAACAAGTACTTTTATTTCAAAACACAACAATTATATTACAAATATGTACACCAACTTATTTTTATTTGTCTGTACGCAAAAAAGTGAGCACGCAAAAAAACACAATTTGTCGATGCTGTCTTCACCAAGACGACTTCGCAGTTTAGTGCAAAAATTGTTTGCTGTCGAAAAAGCTCTCTCAGATTCGACACTGGTTGGCGGTAATGTTTTCAGTAAACAATACACTTTTTCAAGGTTTGGTTCTCGAACCTTGTGGTACTTGAAGAAAGACACTTCTTGCAGGATAGTTTGATCCAGGCTGGTAACTTTTGTCGTCATGTTGGGCGGTTGAGTTTGTTCTGGATCGCACGATTCAGCGTTATGTTATTTATAGAACAATAAAATTATCGTTGAGTTCAGAAAACAATGCATGAAAAGAAAATCTTTTCTCGAGACTTTAATGAAACAAAAAGATGTCATTCGAAACCTTTTTTCCTTAATCACGAAATTTCGGGATTGTCTCACGATCCCGGGATTGTAATCCCGGAGAAAAATCGGTGCGGTATCCCGGGATGCAATCTCTAATTTGAGCCCATTTCGGAGTCTCAATCGCCTCAGATCACACGAAAGGCTGACCAGAATTAGCCCGTTTGCAGAAACGACTACAGGAATAATTTGGATCAGCAGACCACCCCACATGTCGGTCACCTCGTGAGCCAGGTTCAGATATTTTGTTTGCTTATCTTTTTCGACTTTTACGAGGTTGTCGTCATACGGAATGGTAATACCATAAACATCGTTAACTGTTCCCGGTCGATCAGCACAATATCAGATTTATTCGTATGAATACTTCTGTCCCTGATAATGGCCCAGTCCCAGTAGAGGTTGGCGCGATCATTTTCGAGGCTTCCGACAAGTACTTATAATAAGACAGTTTCCGATCCATGAGACCGTATTTCAGAGCGAGCTCCTGGTGTATAATCCTATCTACTAGGATCTGTCTGTGCAAGTACTCAGAGTAAGAAAGAGCCGAACAATCGAAGACGTCATACGTATTACCTAAGTGATTCACCAGAGTAGCGTTAAGCTCGACAAGTGTCGACAGCGCCATCCTTTAGTATGTAACTCTGATAGTTGTTGATCTAAATAATCTGGTCCCACAGACAAAACCCTTGGTTTCCCCAAAGGGGTCACCAAACCGTAGCCAGTGAAGAGAGGTGACCGTAACTACGACAGGCTCATGTAGAGCCTTGTAAAACCTCCTTCTCCTTCCATACGGTATCACAGTCGGAAATGCTCTGTTCTGCCGGGTCTTGCCATTGCTTGTTGGCTAAGGATAGAGTGATAAGCTCTTTATCAAAAGATACCCTCGGAAGTAATTACGGAGGCTGCACACTTCGCGATTATGCATGATAAGCGCACTTAAAGCCACGCTCCCATGCTTCCGCAGCAAGTGCAGACTCATTACCGACGTTCTTGGATGGTGCATCCTATGGGAAATCATGGTACTTCATACTTTTCTATTCCAAGCGTTAGTTCTACTTTGAGACAGCCTGAGTATGCCAAAGGTATAAATGAAGCCAGGCATGACCACATGCGTGTGTCTTATTCGCGCCTTACAAAAGGGTGTTAAGCGCTTTGGTCAAGCGTGCATAGAATAGACTAGCCCGGAGTTCTCTAGTAAGCTATAAAGAGCGTTCAGATGGAGGCAAAACAGAAATTGGACTCAAACAATCACCCTGAAAGATACCCCTTCTTACCCTTATGTGGTCCTCCGAAGCCGTCATCTGCTCGCCTAGATGACAAAAGATCATACTCCACTGCCCCATACAGTCTAGGTCTCTGGCCCGAGGAAGTCTCTAACTGTACAGTCAACCCTGTACAGCTGAGGAATCCTTTTTAGCCATATATGAGGTACTGAGTCGAATGTTTTTCCGTAGTCTATTCAGGTGGCGGAGAAGTTCCAACTTTTGCGTTTAGCCACCTTGCCATTGACAATTTCCTCAAAACGGATGATAGTATCTTGTATACGGTCGGTAGATACGTGACGAGCCGTTATTTGTTAGGATCTGTGGTATCGTGATCTTTAGGAACCAAATGATTGATCCCAGTAGTAAAGAGGCTCGAGAGCGACTTTTGGCCGAGAGCCTCTTAAAACTGTGGGGCGAGCACAACGTAACACACCAGGAACCCCTTTTAGGCAGTAGTGATGAAGCTCGTCGAGTCCCGGACTTTTCCAGTTCGGAGCGCTACGGACCGCCTCCGCTACATCGTTCATTCGCGTTCATCGGCGTTATAATGATGGGGTCTATGTGCGCAACATTCACAAGAAGCACACAAGCGTTATGAATATCATTATACCAGCTAACAAAGAACTTAGTAACTTAGTAACGTATAAGAGTGTAGAAAAGAGGCAGTATCCTTATAAGAGTGGTTTAAGAATCACTATACAGATCAAGCTGTATAGTCTGAAGGCACTAAGTAAACTTAGGATTCTTAACCAAAATATGAAAACTCTAGCATACAACGTTAAGTATTTTGTAACATTGAAATAATACTAGTTTTTACGGAATTTATCGCGTATATTTTAACTTTAAATACCCGACGTTTCGAACGCTTTACAGCACTCATGGTCACGGGCAGGACTGAGATGTTCAACGTCCATATGTCATAGTTAACCGCGGTTACCATAGATTAAAATTTTTATATTTCGATAAATTCCGTAAAAACTAGTATTATTTCAATGTGTAGTGTTCGCGTAAGTATAAGGAATCATTATTTTGTAACACTTGAATCTGATTTTATCATTAAATCTGTATAGAAGCTGTTCTTTGTATGCTGTCAATTACTTATTACAGCTCTAAATGTGTATTATAGTATCACTCAACCCTTATTTCTGAACAATGGTGTATGCAAACTATCTTTTAAAACCTATTTTTATGTCATAACTGTACACTCTTATATATAAATACAGTAATGATTTCTTAAATTTACGCGAACACTACACATTGAATAAAACTAAATTTACGGATTTTATCGCGTTTATTTCACTACTTTTACTTATTTTTGATTCCCGACGTTTCGGGTGCTTTACAGCAACCATGGTCACGGGGGGGACTGAGATGTTTGACGTCCCAATGTCATTGTTAGCCCGGCTACCTTCAGTTTTTGAATATTAATTTTTGGTCCGATTTACGCAAAACGAACTTACATTATCTTGAAGTCTTGCAGTGGTTTGCTTGGGTTTGGGTTTAATTTTGTTAATTATAGGATCCCAAGCAGATGGCAGCACCCAACCATCTTCTCTATTGAAATTAGGATGTTTTTTTAATTTCAATAGCCTCGCGTATCATCCTTGGTAGGAATCGGTGTTCTTTTGCGAGGACTTGTGGTTTATCAAATCTGATGTAATGGTGGGGACGATCTTGAACATGTTCACAGACTGCAGACTTCCCGGAGCGTCGACGCTACGCGACGTCAAACATAGTAGTTTTATTACTTCTATCTATGAGGGTGTATGTGTAATAGCTATAGTACAATTTAAAGCTGTATAAGTGGTAGAATATCGCCATTTCGCATGCGCTGCTTGTTAATATTTTGCTAATAAACGAAATTAATTTGTTATCAATATGTTTAAAAAAGAAAAAGATTTGGTGCAGATAGAAGATAATGTTAAATCTAAATAAAAGTTATCCCACACTATTCCTAAGGCAAGGTTTTCATGTCGTATACCTATCGCTAAAGAGAATTATGTTATGTTAAAAAGACTGCTGCATACTTAAGTAATAAAAATATTGTATTATACAACTGATTAAAAACCAATAGCTGTATGATGGAATCCATAACATACATAAGTACAGCTACTAAGACTATAAGATCCTCAAAATACCGTTTAGGTTGTTTAGCAAATTGTTGCCATTAGAGATGTGAAAGTGAAAAAAATATCGATGTATATCGTATATATATATATATATATATATATATATATATATATATATATATATATTTATATATATATTAAACTGTTTTGATATATCGATACATCATCATCATTAATTTAATTTTTTTATTCCAATTTATACAGCCGTATATATTTAGTTTAGTAAAGTAAAAACTAAAGTTACAGCCTATATACGTCCCACTGCTGGGCACAGACCTCCAATCATTTCTGAGAGGGTTTTAGGGCAAGGAAGTGTCCGCCGCGCTACCCCAATGCGTGTTGGCGAACTTCACATGTCTTCGAAATATTTTTTTCTTATTCCACAGACATGCAGGTTTCCTCACGATGTTTTCATTTCATTAAAAATTTCATTGATGCAGGCGGGGATCGAACTCGGGTTACTCGCGTTCTGTTATATTTACAGCGAGCGTTAACCATCTGAGCTACCATGGCTCTTTAGTTCATTATTTATCGTATTGGGTTATTTTGCTTGCGCGGCAATTTTTAATGATAGAATATACAAGTTGACCATAAATCTAATAATGGTGCGCTATCAATTCACCAACTATCGTCAACAATTCGAGTATAATATTAATATATTAAATATTTTTTTTACTTTCACATTAAATGGCGCCATCAAAGTTCTTTTTGTTTTATATTCATTTGTAATTCCATTCAAAACCCAATTTAGAACGCTTATCTTTAAAAGTTACACATAAAACAATATCTGTAGTACACATATTAGTTTCCTTGCACACGAAATTACAGCTGTAATGCAGCTGTTATTTACAGTTCTTATAAGTATAAGTAAAAAATTGGCCAAAATTATACAGCTTTATGCGTTAGTAGCGTGGTACAGTAGCTGTAACAGCTTATACAGACATAAAATACAGCTACTAGTATAAAAACGTACTTCAATACAGCTCGTATACAGCTTGCATGCTGCTTGGGATTCGCAAACTAGCTCGCTATAACTTCCGTCCAAGGGCCCTCGCTGTGGTTACGGGCTCTGACCACAGGCCGCGCCAGTGTCGGCCTGAGTCGGTACTTGGCCCGTTCTACAAACCTTTGGTCGCTCCAATGATTTATAGAGCCTCTTCTGATCACTCTGGAAGAGACGATTCTGATTGAACCATGTCGACCTCTCGGCATATCGCTGAATCCGCTTCCTCTAATTCTTTCCTTCAGGTCGTCTGTGTGCCTCGTCTGTTTTTGCTGCCATCCTCACTATGTTATTGTCCGACCTGAAGCTTGTCAGTCTGCCGATAAAGACTCTTTTCCTTTGCGATTCTCTCTTCAATTATTTTTCTACAGGCTGGGATGGCGCTACTTTGTGTAGTAGCACGTCCAGGCGTGAGGAGCTTGGTGCCAATAATACGGCATACTGCCAGTGTGGCGTCAAAAATAATTGAGTCCCTTTCGCAAAAGTCCCGGCTGGCTTCTTGTACACACACACAGGGGTATGCAGGGAAGTCGCGGTCGATTCTCGAGAGACGTACTGCACTTTTCCCTAATAGCCTCTTCCCATATGCTCTTCATTTGCTCTTGCTCCTGGATGACTGTTCCATCATCTTCTGAGTCATCCACAAGGAGATCTAAGGCGACGTCTACGTGTGAGGGTTGCTCTGCAACTCGTAGGCCCGCATCCCCTGCTGTAATATTTCATCCGCCAAGAGAAAACCCTCACGTCGTAGTCGTTCGAGTTCGGCGTCATCAAATATTTTAGCGCTTGACGTACCGAACTCGGTCTGAAAGGTTTTGCCCGGTGACGGTAATAAATGGGTCCAGCTGAGCAAAAAAGCGATGTATCCTAGCCCGCTACGTAAAAACCCTCAACTTTTCGGCCTTTCACCCTAAAATACGCCCGCAATAC